ATTTTATGTATTTTTTATTTTTTATTTTGAAATTTAAACCATTAAATATTATTATTAATTAGTTCATTAGATATTAATTAATATTATTAGATTTTATTTTATATAAATTTGATGAATAGTTATGAATAATGTTTTTATAAATTTTTAGTGAAATTTCAACCATTAATGACAAAATTTTTATATTAAGTATTTGATATTAACTAGCATTTTTAGATTTATTGTTTTGAGTATATTTTAGGGTGAATATATATGATTGCTATGAGTTTTGAAGGTTTTATATGGGCAAATTTTCTTGTCTTACTGTTTTCTGCATTTCGTATCTTTTAATTAACTACAAAACATTGTATTTTTCATAGTTAAAGATTAAAAAAAAATTTAAAAAGTTGAGGGACGAAAAGTATGTAAACTTTAAAGTTGAAGAACCTAAATTTTTTGATTAAATAACCATGTTAGTCCCTCAACTTTTAGATTTAGGTCAAACTTATTCCAAAACTTTAAAAAGTACTAAAAATGTCCTTAAACTTTAATTTTTGGAACCGAAATAATCCTTGAACTTTTGTTTAGTATCAATTTAGTCCTTAACATTTGAAGACTTAGACTTTAAAACTTTGATTATAAGTACTAATTTATTTATTCAACTTTATAAATACAATTGGAAAAATATATCATGATAGTAAAATATAATTATTTGATTTGATTTTATTAATTTTTGAAAAAGAAATTGATTTTGTGGCAAAATAATGAATATCAAGTAACACCTTGAGATAAGTACTATTTTGATATTAAATATTAAAGTTTATGGATAGTTTTGATATTTTTAAAGTTTAGGATAATTTTGATATAAATTTAAAATATTAAGGACTAAATTTGGTATTTCAACCTAACTTTTTAGCAATTTAATAATTGGTCTTATTTTGTTGTTGTATTTACTTTAGGTTTAAGTACCATTTTGGTCCCTCAACTTTTTACTTTAATACCAAAATTGTCCCTCAACTTTAAAAAGTATCAAAATTATCCTCATACTTTCATTTTCAGTACCAAAATGGTCTTTCCGTTAGTTAAATGACAGGTGCCACGTTTACTTCTCAACAAATCACTGGATTTTTTTAATTTTAATGACATGTAAATTCCATGTAAGAAAATTTAATATTTTTTATTATTATTTTATAATTTTTCAAAGTTATCTTCTTTCTCATTAATCGAGAAAAAAAACAAACAAATTAATCAAGAAAAAAAAAAGTGTTAATAAAATAAAAAATTAACATTTGTCTTTGGTCCCAACCGCAAATCAACCCAATGTAATTAGCTGAGTGTCCTTGCACTCTATCCACCACCGGCGCAAGAGTAATCTACGATGCTCAATACCTACTCCTTGAATCCGAAATAAAGACATACCCCATCGACCTACTTTAACCATCCGCTCCGTCTCTCTGGAAAACAGAACAGTGGTTTCAGATATCTTGTGTTTCTTTGTTTAGAAACGATGACTCCGATGGGAGTTCTGGGTGTGTTGTTCCTACTTCTTGCTCTGTACTGCGGCATAGACCCTTTCAAGCACAGTTCAATTTCTGGGTTCCCTGACTTTAAGGAAACTGGATTTTTTTCTTGATTAATTTTTTTAAAACAAACCCAGATTTGGGTTTGAGAAAAACCCAAATCTGGATTTTGATTTGGAGAGGAAGAATAAATGAGAAGAGAGAGAGAAAGAATAAGAAAGAAGAAGGATGAGGAGGGAAAGGAAGGAGGAAGGTTGGTTGAGGAAGGTGATTAAGGGGGGATTTGAGGGCCAAAGGGTGGGCTTGAGACAAACCCATAGACAAACCCACGATCTGGGTTTTTCTCAAACCCAGATCTGGGTTTTTCTTAAGCCACGATCTGGGTTTTTCTCAAACCCAGATCTGGGTTTGAGAGAAGAAGCAGGGAGAGAGAGAGAGAAAGAATAAAAAAAAGAAAGAAGGGTGAGCATGGAGGAGGAAAGGAGGAAGAAGATAAAGTGGATCTAGGTTTGCAAAGGTAAGGGGAAAGGAAAGGTAAAGGAGAGAGAAAGCGAAAGAGAAAGAAGAGATGACGATGGATGAAAAAAAAATCATTATTTTTAAATTAAATAAAAATGCCAAACTCATACAAAAGATGACCAATTATATTTTGTTTTTTTTTCATGTCATTAGTTAACAAAAAAAAAATTGATTTGCTGGCATTTTAACGTGCCACCTATCATTTAACTGACGGAAGGACCATTTTGGTACTGAAAATGAAAATTTGAGAATAATTTTAGTACTTTTTAAAGTTGAGGAACAATTTTAGTACCAAAGTGAAAAGTTGAGGGACCAAAATGGTACTTAAACATTTACTTTAAGTTATATTATGTTAATTTTAAATGTAGTTTTTTTAATTTAATGGTATAATAAAGAAATTTTTAATTGAAAATATGTATATAAATTAATATTTTAATAATTATTTTGTAGGTTAATATACTTGAGCTCTTGTGGATCCTCATTAATTACAA